GGAGGTGGGATGTGGGAGGTGGGATGTGGGAGATGCGACGTGGTATGTTTTGTGTGGAAGGTGCTGGCTAGAGCAAGTCTTTGGAAAGACGGAACCTTGGTCGTGATGATCTTAGACATCTATGATGACCTAAGGAATCTGTGATAATCTTAGGTCTCTAAGATTGAGAGGTATGACGCACTCTCCAATTTTGTGTTAGTTTTACAGTAGCATTTAAATCTTCAACTGACCAATTCATGTTGTGCTTCAAGTTTGTTCTATTTTTGTGATATCTCTAGCTGTCTTGAAAGCTGGGTGCTGGGGGGTCGAATGGTCTTAACTGAGCAAATCTCAAGTAGGTGGCCACCAGCAAAAAAGATCACCAGCACCCCGGGTGGATGGGACCCGTCAACCTTGGATGGCAACTCATCTAAGAGAAGGAAAAGTCTGAATTAAAACGCGGAGATGGAGTCCCGTAAGCGGATAACATTGGTACAATGAAACATTCCGACACCTCCTGCGACGCCACTGGTGCCAAGCTGTATCATCCAACGATGTTCCCCTTGGGTTATCCAGCGGCGTGGAGAGAGGCGATTTGCTGTTGGGAACCAGCTTATAATCCTGCGAAGTCTTCACCATTGTCACATTGTGACGGACGGTTGCCCGCAAGCTGTCTTGACACATATAAATATATATATATATATATATGTTTATATTGTTTCCAACATGTTGGATGTTAAAGTGTTTTAAATATAAAAAAATAAACTCATTTGACCACAATCAATTATATTTGTGGAATTAAATTGATTATTTCAGTTGTTTTTGCCGGCCTTTTTATTATATAAAAAAAACCCAAAAAACTTTACTCTTTTCATAGCGCATGACAGTGTCAAAACCTGGCCATTATCAACTGACTTAAGATCGAGCAGGTATAAAAATGAATGTTGACGGATCAGTGAAGCGTAGCGGATGCCCTGCAAGATGCCAGGTAAGACATGCCTTGTAAACAGAGAGTGCGCGATGCCACAGGTAGCCCAAGATCAGCCCATGGGAGCACACAATTAATCGTCACTGATGAATTTTCAAACGTTGAATTTGTTCGCATGAGTTACTAATCATCTAACCCCGCGATGGCTCAGTTGGTAGAGCCGAGGACTGTAGAAGTTTGAAGCTATCCTTAGGTCACTGGTTCGAATCCGGTTCGCGGGAATATTTTTGGTAGGCTCCACAAGTCGCGAACACTATTCTTTTTAAGGTTCGTAAATCTATATGATCACTTATGAAAAGTAGTTTATTTAAGCTGCTGTCTACACTAGAGAAATACTTAAGATGCCTTGTGTGGAAATTGTTGTTATTGTAAAATGTTGTCTTGGTTCAAATATGGTTTTATTTATTTACCGAAATAAGGATGTGCAGTGTAATTTAAAAAAAAAATATGTCTATCAATAAATAATCTTAACTTATCTTAATTTAAGAAAGTGTACATTAATTTGTCAACTTTTAGTATTAAATGGACCACAATTGTTATCCCCCTCCCCCCCCCTAACCAAGGTAGATGTAAAAATAGCTAGCACCATATTCCGTTGTTGAAAGTCACATTATAACAACATTAAATCTACATATAATAATGAATTTAACTTATCTTAATTTAAAAAAGTGTACATTAATTTGTCAACTTTTAGTATTAAAAGGACCACAATTGTTATCCCCCCCCCCCCCCCCCTAACCAAGGTAGATGTAAAAATAGCTAGCACCATATTCCGTTGTTGAAAGTCACATTATAACAACATTAAATCTACATATAATAATGAAATGGCGCATTTTTGAAATTCCGGTTAGCTACATTTTATGACAACGAGAACATAATATATATATATATATTTATTTTTTTTTCTTTTGGATCGGGGGGAGACTACATAATAAGTGAAACAAATTGTTATTTTTATATTGATTTTACCGGTACTGTCCTTTGTTCACCGAAGAAGGCTTTTGGTCGATACGCGCGTTGTAATTTTGCGTCCTTTTCCCCCCATGTTTTCCCATACTTTGTTACACGTATTTCTATATGCATTCATGAAAGCCTGTTCATCAGAATTCATCTCATGAAAAGTATTCCTACCTGTCATTGCTATAAAGAAAGCTAGATTCGTGCTCCACCAACTGTCCAATTGACTTAGAGGTAGACAAACTATAGTTTGAGAAGCTGTCGGAGTAACTCTGGTGTCATCTTTTATTCTTTGTCACAAGGTAAATGGGCTGAACGTCGTCTTTGAAAGCATTTCACATTATACCAGGCCTGTAGGAAAATAAATCGATAGTAAAGTATCGATCCTTTAGGCACTCTCCATTACACAGATGCTCGGTTAAAAAACCACAGCCATCAGAACATCCTTTGTCACCACTGTGAATGGATATATCCTAGTTTTCACTCTCACCTTCAGATATCCCATCTATACCTTGCACCTGGAGATATCCCAATTCCACCTTGCACCTTGAGATATCCCAACTATACCTTGCACTTGGAGATATCCCAACTATAGCGTGCACCTTGAGATATCCTAACTATATCTTGCACATTGAGATATCCCATATACACCTTGCACCTAGAGATATCCTAACTGTACCTTGCACCTGGACATCTATCCCTTGAACTTGGAGATAGTCCATCTATACCTTGCGCCTGGAGATATCCTAATTCAACATTGCGCCTACTGCAAAAGAAACTTTCATGCACTGTTTGGCCTCATCAACCATCTACCATCACAAAGTCAGCCATCTACCAAAATAAAGTCACACATCTACCATCATAAAGCCAGCCATCTCCCATCATAAAGTCAGCCATCACCATCATAAAGCTAGCCATCTACCGTCATAAAGTCAGCCATCTACCATCATAAAGTCAGCCATCTACCATCATAAAGTCAACCATCTACCACAACAAAGCCAGCCATTCACCATCATAAAGCCAGCCATCTACCGCCATAAAGTCAGCCATCTACCATCATAAAGTCAGCCATCTACCATCATAAAGTCAGCCATCTACCATCACAAAGCCAGCCATTCACCATCATAAAGCCAGCCCTCTACTGCCATAAAGTCAGCCAATTACCATCATAAAGTCAGCCATCTACCATCACAAAGCCAGCCATTCACCATCATAAAGTCAGCCATCTACCATCATAAAGTCAGCCATCTACCATCACGGAGAAGCAGCACCATCAACACGTTGAGTGGTTCTCGCGAGATAACGGGAAACACAAGACATGCTGTAATTAAATGGAAAAAGGGAACAAAATATTGGTGTTACTGTAAGTTTATCTGGAGGCGATATTCTGTTTTGATTATTACACCGTACTAGCCGGGTGATTTTGGTAAAAAATTCTGTGTAGCGACGAAATGGCTTCCTTTAAAGTCGAGAGGAGACAAGCATTAACCCCCCCCCCCCTCCTTTTTTTTTTAGTTTGGGGAAATAAATCCTCCTTTTTTTTTTTAGCTTGGGGAAATAAAACAAAGACGTACCGGAACCCCTGCTAATATTAACAACTTTACACATCATTACTCAATAAAATCAATGAAATCAACACACACACACCCGCACGCGCGCACAACACACACAAAGTGTGCTCACAAACATACATTTGTTGAGAGGGAAAACATGAATTTACTTAAAATAACAAAGATATGTTTTCCTCTTTAGCCACTCTGTTTAATCAACAAATATTCGTCAGACACATAACACAACGACACATTATGATCACGACACAATGACACTTTGTGATCACCCATAGAACCTTTGGGAACGCGACCTGATAAATATTGACTCTCTCTCTCTCTCTCTCTCTCTCTCTCTCTCTCCCTCTCTCTCTCTCTCTCTCTCTCTCTCTCTCTCTCTCTCTCATCTATCGTAACCCTAATGTTGACATGACCCAGTCTTAACATTATAAAATTGTTTTTTTTTTAAAATGGTAGAAGAAACAAATCATTTCCTAGACATCGCGATGTGATGACATTACAGTAATTTATGCATGTAATCGTTGACTTTAAAATTCGATGACGCGTTGTCTTCTTTGACCCAGTAAGCGAATCGGGTTAATTAGACAAACAAAGAAAGACCAACAGACGAAGAAGTGTTGTGTTCAAAATGTAACTGGGGAGTTAGCTCAAAATTAAATAAATAACACCACACAATTAAAATAAACACGTCTTAAATTGCTCACTCTGCCAACGTGTTGTGTTTAAAAAAAATAGATATTTAAATTACATGTAAGGTGATGATTTTTATATTAGAAAATTCACAATAATTAACACTGTATTTTTAATTTTGCGCTAACCACAGTTCTGTCGAGAAATATTACAGAGATGTGGACAGAAAGGATGTCTCTTGCTGTGAAAAAATGTTTCATTGATTTAATAGTCTTCAGATCCNNNCGAAGAGCAGGAATCAAAGTATTTTAAGATTGGCAGACACAAAAGGGAAGTTGGTGCTGTGTAAGCCAAGGGACTTCAGTACGTCCTAACAAGGGGGAGTCAGTTCAGTGTACCCAGGGAACTTAAGAGTATCTTCGGACAAGGGGAAGTCAGTACGTTGAAAACGGGGCATCATTAGTTTGTGTCCATCAAAGGACCTAATTGCCGTCTCGGCTTTGATTCGCTTTAAATGACGTAGTCCCGAGGGACACCTTTAATAACAGATGTGATTGAAGCTAGCAATAAAAAAGCAAAGACTTATTTTTTATCCAAAGAAATATTTGCTATTTTATACAGCTGGATAATGTGTAGAGGGCAGGGCTGATTAAAATTGCAGTACGTTTGTCAGTGCTTTTGAAAGATCTGAAATTTAAGTCGAATTATTTATAAAAAAAAAGATCTAACATAAAACTCGTGATCATTGGAGCTACACAGTCTTACCATTGGCTATATAACTATATTCGTGTTTCAACAACTTTAGCATTTCTATGGAGATTCTAGTGACAATGGATCCAGCTGTCATAACTGTCAACGCCAGCGTGGACACGGACCAACTGCTGACGGACGAGGCGTACCTGATGGTGGAAGGATGCTTCTGTGCAGCCCGCGGGTTGATCTCCCTGCTCGGAATTCTGGGCAATCTCGTGAACATCAAAGCGTACGTCTCGATGGGACTTTCCGATGGCGTCACCACGGCGTTCCTGCTCCTAGCGTGTTCGGACCTCGCCTACCTCACGGCCATGCTCGCTCGCGCCGTCTCCTTTGGGTTCATGGCCGCTGAGAAGCTCCACAACTACTCTCTCTGGTTCCCCGTCGACCCTTACGGCGTCTACATCTTCTTCGGCAACGTCGGCAGCATCCCGTACACCGTGTCCATCCTCACCACCACGCTCCTCGCCGTGGTTCGGTGTTTGAGCGTCGCGAGGCCGTTGCAGTTCCAAAACTCGTTCAGACGGACACGCGCGACCGCAGTGGTGTTCGTCTTTGCGATGTTCTCTCTCTTCAGCTATTTACCGGTGCTGGTGTTCATGGGGATGATCAGGCAGTTCGACGCGAGGGTCAACGCGACGAGACCCATGCTATGGATATCGCCGATGCGAGAAAGGGTCAAGGACATTGTCTGGGTCATCCGGGACGCCATTCTGCCCATAGCGACGCAGTTGATCGTCATCACGTGCGTCATCGTAATGGCGGACTGCCTGAGGTCCGCCTCGGTGTTTCGGATGTCGCAGATGAGCGTTAAGTCTGTCTCCGAGAAACTAAGATTTGGCGACCTTAACGTTGACCTTGGTCAAAACGAGGCACCCCGGTCGGCAGCGAACCCGAACAAGCTCATCGGGAAGGAGCTGCAGGCGGTACAGCAGGTTCTTCTGATAAGCATAATCTTCATCGTCTGCAACATGCCGAAGATCGTCATCAACTTCACGGGTCTCTTCGAGCAAGAGTTCGCCCTGGGGAGGCTGCACGAAAACCTGTACCTCACCATGATTGGCGTGCTCTACATTTTCCAGACCGTGTACTCAAGCGTCAACATTTTCATCTACTACCACTACAGCTCCAAGTACAGGAGGCACTGCAAGGTTTGTGCTTGACCGTGGCCATTGTGTTCACTTTGAAGAGGTAGACTCTCTCACACTGCGGTGGCTTCAAAGTGGCTTTCATTCTGGTCGCGGGAATCTCAAAAGGTCGACCATTTGAGCCGCGACCGTCTGCTACACACAACTCTTGGACCAATGCTCCCTCAAAACTCACCTTTGACCCGTGACCTTTGACCGTTGACCGTTAATAATTATTGATGAATTTCTTCGTGTCAATCGTGAATACAAAATACTAATTCTGGTTTGTAGGGGCCTTTCCATTTTTGTTCCACGTTCGCTGTTATGTGTTTAACAAGACGAGTGGATGTTCGCCTAAGCACCGTTTATGTCTATCCTTTCAACTTTATTTTTTAAAAAGAAACTTAAAAAAAAAAACAACAAACAAACAAACCAATAATTTTTTTAAGTGGTTGTCAAAGAAATTAATTTATTCCTCAGAGAGTTCGCTTGGTCACACTACAACACAAACTTAATTTAATGATGACTTAAAATAATGACCAACAATGATGTTTGTTTTGTGTAGGACGGGGGCGTCAAATATCTTATGTTATATTTGGTCATTGCGCACATAACCCATGTTATGATGTGTCCTTGCGCACATAACCCATGTTATGATGTGTCATTGCGCACATAACCCATGTTATAATGTGTCCTTGTGCACATAACCCATGTTATGATGTGTCCTTGTGCACATAACCCATGTTATGATGTGTCCTTGTGCACATAACCCATGTTATGATGTGTCCTTGTGCACATAACCCATGTTATGATGTGTCCTTGTGCACATAACCCATGTTATGATGTGTCCTTGTGCACATAACCCATGTTATGATGTGTCCTTGTGCACATAACCCATGTTATGATGTGTCCTTGTGCACATAACCCATGTTATGATGTGTCCTTGTGCACATAACCCATGTTATGATGTGTCCTTGTGCACATAACCCATGTTATGATGTGTCCTTGTGCACATAACCCATGTTATGATGTGTCCTTGTGCACATAACCCATGTTATGATGTGTCCTTGTGCACATAACCCATGTTATGATGTGTCCTTGCGCACATAACCCATGTTATGATGTGTCCTTGCGCACATAACCCATGTTATGATGTGTCCTTGCGCACATAACCCATGTTATGATGTGTCCTTGCGCACATAACCCATGTTATGATGTGTCCTTGTGCACATAACCCATGTTATGATGTGTCCTTGCGCACATAACCCATGTTATGATGTGTCCTTGCGCACATAACCCATGTTATGATGTGTCCTTGTGCACATAACCCATGTTATGATGTGTCCTTGCGCACATAACCCATGTTATGATGTGTCCTTGTGCACATAACCCATGTTATGATGTGTCCTTGCGCACATAACCCATGTTATGATGTGTCCTTGTGCACATAACCCATGTTATGATGTGTCCTTGCGCACATAACCCATGTTATGATGTGTCCTTGTGCACATAACCCATGTTATGATGTGTCCTTGCGCACATAACCCATGTTATGATGTGTCCTTGTGCACATAACCCATGTTATGATGTGTCCTTGCGCACATAACCCATGTTATGATGTGTCCTTGCGCACATAACCCATGTTATGATGTGTCCTTGTGCACATAACCCATGTTATGATGTGTCCTTGTGCACATAACCCATGTTATGATGTGTCCTTGTTCACATAACCCATGTTATGATGTGTCCTTGTGCACATAACCCATGTTATGATGTGTCCTTGTGCACATAACCCATGTTATGATGTGTCCTTGTGCACATAACCCATGTTATGATGTGTCCGTGTGCACATAACCCATGTTATGTTGTGTCCTTGTGCACCTCTCTCGAGCATTAGTATGTGCATCCAGATGATACTTTTAATTTCATTTTAAGGATGGGTGGGGGTGGGGTTTTGCTGGTGGTAAATCAATGATGATAAGAACTTGGATCTCTGCATAACGTCTCAGTAGAGCCAATATAAAACAAAATCGTAAACAAGTGAACTATTGAAAATACATTCAAATATTGAAATATATTATAATGGAATAAATACTACTAAAGTAAAAATGAACATAATATATTTAGAAGGCAGGCAAAGCATAGACCAGATATACCTGATTTACCAGATATACCTGATGTACCAGATATACCTGATGTACCAGATATACCTGATGTACCAGATATACCTGATGTACCAGATATACCTGGTGTACCAGATATACCTGATGTGCCAGATATACCTGATGTACCAGATATACCTGATGTACCAGATATACCTGATGTACCAGATATACCTGATGTACCAGATATACCTGATGTACCAGATATACCTGATGTACCAGATATACCTGATGTACCAGATATACCTGATGTACCAGATATACCTGATGTACCAGATATACCTGATGTACCAGATATACCTGATGTACCAGATACCTTTCAGATTGTTTTTTTTTTTGTATATTCATTCACATAAAAAATCACATCTTCATTTTAGCCGACCAAACTTGACTCTCTCCCACCCCTCTGCAACCACTGCAGCCCTCACTGAGGTGACCAATGCCATTAGGCCCTTTTTTCTTTCAGCTGAACGAGGAATTTTTCGGGCAAAAATTGTAAAAAAGTTCTCCATAAGGATGTTAAAGTTAAGGCGAATTTGAAGCAACTATTTAGTGATCATCTCGTCGGTGCCTGTGTTGAACGGTGCTTAGTTCAAATCCTAATAATAAAACGACTTAGCTAAACATGACAATCAAAGAATGTATATTTATTAACAAGAACCATGGACATCAGATGCAACAGTAAAGATGTACTGGAATTAGAGTCTCACACGAAGACACCTTGACACGTGAGTGTAGAATATTGAAACACGTTTGTAACATGACTGTGAAAGTCACTTGAACACTTTTGGAATATGACTTAGATATGTATTTAAACACTTTTGGAGTATGAATTAGATATGTATTTATACACTTTTGGAATATGACTTCGATATGTATTTAAACACTTTTGGAATATGACTTAGATATGTATTTAAACACTTTTGGAATATGACATAGTTATTTAACACCTGAACACCATTTGGATGACGATGTAAAATCTTTTTGAGAAATAAGTGAACACATCGAAGTCGGTTAATCTGTATTTCTACAGTAGCAGATGTCGCTCTAATGTCTTGGTTAAGAAGTTAATCTGTATTTCTCCAGTAGCAGATGTCGCTCTAATGTCTTGGTTAAGAAGTTAATCTGTATTTCTCCAGTAGCAGATGTCGCTCTAATGTCTTGGTTAAGAAGTTAATCTGTATTTCTCCAGTAGCAGATGTCGCTCTAATGTCTTGGTTAAGAAGTTAATCTGTATTTCTACAGTAGCAGATGTCGCTCTAATGTCTTGGTTAAGAAGTTAATCTGTATTTCTACAGTAGCAGATGTCGCTCTAATGTCTTGGTTAAGAAGTTAATCTGTATTTCTACAGTAGCAGATGTCGCTCTAATGTCTTGGTTAAGAAGTTAATCTGTATTGAAGGGAAGACGATTAGAATAGTATTTTTAAATCCATAATTTAAATATTATAATCCAATATTATACTTGAGATATAAAATGCGCATTTTAGCACCTATCTCAAAGTGCGCAATTCTTTCGTGGTTTGCTAAAGAAGCAACACTTTCTGAACCTCGAGTTGTACCGGTAATAGATGATGATACTGCTGCTGGAATTAAGTGCCTGGGAGAGTTCCATGAGGGAGATCACAACCAAATACAAGTTCTGATAACTCTTGCCCAGTGTGAAGTCTGAGACGAACATGGCGGTGACGTCCACGAGGATCTTGGGAGTGTTGCAGACGATGTACACGACAGATATGAGCACCACCTGCTTGACCACAGACATGTCTTTGAGACTAAGCTTGTTGGAATACGCGATGTTGTTCTTCTCTGCGCTCGGCGTCTCGTGTTCCTTTTGCCCTGGACCATTTCCATTTATGTCAAGCACAGAAAATATCTGAAGATTCTTCTGGAAAGTCGGCTTCGAGGGTGTTAGAATGTTCGCAAAATTCTGTCGGAATTTAGCCGCCGTCCGGAGACTCTTGACCATGACAATCACGCACACCGTGACGATGACCTGCGTGACGAAAGTGACCGCCACGTCCCTGGAGATCCACACGGCCTCTTTGACCTTGTCCCGCCTGGGCGAGATCCACAGCACGGACCTCGTGGCGTTGACCCTCTCGTCGAACTCCGTGACCATCCTCATGAACACGAGTATGGGAAAGTAGCTGGCCACGGCGATGACGAAGAAGACGGAGAGGATCAAAATCGAGGATTTCTTGGTGAAGACGTTCATGAATTTCAGCGGCATGGCCACGCACATGCAGCGGACCACTGCCAGAAAAGTGGTGGTCATCATGGTGAGGAGGTACAGCAGGATGCCGACGTTGGAGAAGAAGACGTAGACCCCGAACGGCTCGACAGGAAACCACACCTTGTACGCTCCTTTCCTCTCCAGCACGTAGAGTCCCAGCGCGACGGCGTGCGCGGCCATGGCGACGAGGTACGCGAGGTCCGAGACGGTGAGGAACACGAAGGAGAGCGTCACGCCGTCCTTGACCCCCATGGAGATAAACGTTCTGATGGTGACCAGGTTGCCGAGGCAACCCAAGACGGACACGCAGGTGCATACGGTGCTGAAGATCTCCGAGAAGATGAAATATTGCTGGTCAGAGATCAGTTTTTGACCGTCCTCCCGAGTTGACGTTTCGTTTGAGTAACATTCGGATGTAGCAATGACGTCCATCGCTGGGCTACGGGGTGGCGCTATCGTCTAAGGACATTCGGATGTGGCACTGACGTCCATAGCTGGGCTACAAGTAGTGATATCGTCTAACAACATTCAGATGTAGACCTGACGTCCATAACTGGGCTACGGGTTGCGATACCGTCTAAGAACGATTAGATGTAGCACTGACGTCCATAACTGGGCTACGGGTTGCGATACCGCCTAAGAACGATTAGATGTAGCACTGACGTCCATAACTGGGCTACGGGTTGTGATACCGTCTAAGAACGATTAGATGTAGCACTGACGTCCATAACTGGGCTACGAGTTGCGATAGCGTCTAAGAACGATTAGATGTAGCACTGACGTCCATAACTGGGCTACGGGTTGCGATACCGTCTAAGAACGATTAGATGTAGCACTGACGTCCATAACTGGGCTACGGGTTGTGTTATCGCCTAGGATCGTTCATCTGCTGCTGTGACGTCTTGTGTTGGAATCTAACTTCGCTATCGTCTTAGAAATTCTTGGGTTGTCTGTAACGTTCATAGCTGGGGAGCTAGTTTCGATTTCTCTTCTAAGAACACTTTTTGAGCTTTTGTACCTTTAACGAGGGCTTACCTCATCGTCATCACGGCTTAATTTCGAATGATCGAAACTTGAGGAAATATTTGAGTGCACTGTTGCCATGTAGCATTTTCAAACCTGTCTGGCTGGATTTCATTGGCTGTTTGCTCTCAGTTAAGTTTTTAAATTTTGTATTGTTGGAAAGAAAAGTGAACACTCACAAACTCTTCTTCATCACTGTGGCTGTCAATGTCAACCCAAGACCCAGCAGAAACCACTTTCCACAGAACGCCGCTCAGAATCCGATGATCCTGTGAATGACGCTGTCACATGTTCATTTAGTTGTCAAGGAAGTCTTGAGCGCATGCGCCGAATCATGTTTTCATCTAAGAGACCATGACGTCATGGCGAGGCCGCTGGGTTTTCCCGATGTCCCCATGTTTGATGAAAAGGCTTTCATTGTTCTGTAGATAAAAAAAAAAGAGAACATACATTTCAAAACCACCACAAGATATGTCGTTCAGTATTTGTAAATCATTTATTGAAATAATTATTTTTTTCCCCACGCATATATTTATTTTAAAAAAAATATTCAGTAGAGAAAATCCAAACCATGAATACATTGATACCCTAGATTCTCATCATTAGCGCGACCCTCTCTATTAAATCAACATTGCAGACCAGGAGGTATTGCTCGTTTTATTAATAAAATGGCTCATGATTTTATCAGCTTAAATTCCCCGATAGCGCAAACGCCAGGCCGTAATAAAACCATCGCCTCGAGTCATAAACCAATGGACCAAACCGAGTGACAGGGGCAAATAATTCACGCTGGAAAAAAATGATACCTCCACCACCCCCCCTCCCCCCCCCTCCCCCCCCCCCTAAACCTTTTCAAATTAATGTCAGCATGAAGATAAGATTGATAGAAATCTGATTACTGCACACAAGGAGATTAACTAAAAAAACTGCAAAGAATTGAAACCGGGTTGGTTGGAGAGTTTTAAAACAGGATGTCAATGACGTATGCGCCAAGGGTATTATATTTGAATAATGGGCGCTAACGCAATCTGATGAAGTGAAAGCATAAAGTTGTGTCTGCCATCGTCGCGCCTCATACACAACCACACAAACACACACACACTCAAACACATAGTATACAAACACATGTACAAAGTACAAATGAAAATACCATTTCGCATCTTCTTTCATTGAAGAAACTGAATAGAAATATTCTTTTCTTGTTGTTGTAGATAAATCCAGACTAGGCATTAGGGAGAATTCGCAGCCAATTGATTTATTTAGAAGAAATCCCATCCGGTCTTTATATTTGAAATCGACAAATCTGGTCTCTAAGTTAGTAAGCAGAAACAGCTTGTCTTTATAGTAGAATTTAGACACATCCTGTCTCTATATTAGGAAGTAGGCACATCTTGTCTCTCTAATTTTTTTAGTAGACACATCCGGTTTCATGTTAGAAAGTTGACAAATACGATGTCTATATTAGGAAGTAACACATCCAGTCTGGTTTATCGATCTGGAAGTAGACACATCAGGTCTATATAAATGAAAGTAGACACATCCGGTCTGTAGAACAGGAAGTAGACACATCCGGTCTATAAAACTGGAAGTAGACACACCTGGTCTATAGAAATGGAAGTAGACACATCCCGTCTATAGAACTGAGACACATCCGTTCTAGACGTATGTGAATATCCCACAATTGATAGACCACCAATTACGTCACTCTTTTCTGGTTTATAATTTTTAAAAATTCCTTGATGACATTAATTAGGTATAATTTATTTTACTTATGACGTGTCCAGTGAACTGATGAACTGAAGAAAGTGGGGGGGGGGGGGAAACGAAAGAACTAAGCCATAGAAGGTCGGTTATGATTTGCGACCCATTCATTAATTAGGTATAATTTATTTTACTTATGACGTGTCCAGTGAACTGATGAACTGAAGAAAGTGGGGGGGGGGGAAACGAAAGAACTAAGCCATAGAAGGTCTGTTATGATTTGCGACCCATGCAATGTTATTTGTTATCATTCGGTCGCGTGTTATGGTTTTTTTTAAATTACATGATACATAAAAAAATATATATTTACTTCAACGACGGCTGATCAGGTGCAGCTTTGTGTATATAATGGTAAGTGTTCCCTTGCTGTTCCCCTGATGTTCCCCTGCCGTTCCCCTGGAGGTCCCTTGCTGTTCGACTCATGTTCCACTGCCGTTTCCCTGCAGTTTCTCTGCTGTTCCTCTGCTGTTTCCCTGTCGTTCCCTTGCTGTTGACCTGCTGTTGACCTGCTGTTGCCCGGCTGTTCCCCTGCTGTTCCCCTGCTGTTCCCCTGCTGTTCCCCTGCTGTTCCCCTGCTGTTCCCCTGCTGTTCCCCTAGTGTACCCCTTTAAACATAAGTAGACAATCCTATGAGGTCGTATTTGATCCCTCCATAAAACAAATCTTGTGTGTGCATGTTCCTCAGTAGCAGTAATATCACTCACAGTTGTAAAAAAATATGTTTCAATTTTAAAAAAAAATTTAAAACAAAAAAATATTAACATCATCTGGACGAAAAGGCATTAGGAGAATATTTTTCTTTTATATCTAGATCAGACGCAGTTATCCTTGAGCTGATGAGAAGGCGTTACTGCGAAACATACATACATACATAAAAATACTCCGTTGTTTTGTAGATAATATTATTTTTTAATGAAGAGCATTCCGTGCCCAGAGGCTGGAGATTCTGACTGATGCGTCAATACCCCACTACCCTTTGAGAACCCTTGATTTGGCAATTGCATTTTTTTGCTGCTGTAGTGATAACCCAAAGTACAAATTGCTCTAATTATATTTTGTCTCTTTGCAAGAAGGTCGATAACAGACGTGGCGAGAGAAGGCCACGTCGATATCACAACCGATGAGTTTACTGGGAGATAACTGATGCCAGTAGCGACCTTGAGGACAATTCGGTTTGGGTCAAGGTGGTATTCATCACCCCAACAAAATCTCAGAAAGTTCTGGCAGTTAGTACGAGACACTATCGAATCACGATTTAAAATTAGCTGTGATGCATGGGGGAAAGGGGGGGGGGGCTCTATTGAAGCCCCTCGGGTCAAGTTGCGTCTCAGTCGTCTAGTGACGCCTTAGGGGTCTAGTGACGTTCAAAGGGTGTAGTGACGCCCCAAGAGGCTAGTGACGTCCAGTGGGGTCTAGTGACCTCCCAGGAGTCTAGTGACGTGCAGTTGAATCTAGTGACGTCCAGGGAGGCTAGTGACGCCCCAGGAGTCTGGTGACGTCCAAAGGGGTGTATTCTTAAACTATTTTCGAAAAAGATGGAGTTAGTGAATAATATCAAACAACTTTATGACATTATTTAACAAATTCATAGATACATATTTCACATATTTCACATAGCTCACATATTTCACATATTTCACACATTTCCCACATTTCACACATTTCCCACATTTCACACATTTCACACATTTCACACATTTCACACATTTCACACATTTCCCACATTTCACACATTTCCCACATTTCACACATTTCACACGTTTCACACATTTCACACATTTCACACATTTCACACATTTCACACATTTCACACATTGCACACATTTCACACATTTCACACATTTCACACATTTCACACATTTCACACTTTGCACACATTTCACACATTTCACACATTTCACACATTTCACATATCAGTGGCCGGGCATCGACATAAAATGCATACAAAATAATTAAACTAAAAAAAACCGTTCCAAAGTCTTACAACGTTCTACGTAACACAATTTGAGAACCACTTACCGTCCACCAGAGGCGTAGCGAGGGGGGCAGGGGGGATGTCCCCTGGCGCAAGCTAATTAGGGGCGCCAAAATGTGCTTTGATCTTATATTATTGGTAAAAGTAATGGGTTTGAGAGTTGAAAAAAAAAAGAAAAGGGGGCGCTTGTCCCCTTGGCACGAATCTTGTCATCGTGCGCCAAACACCCTCGCTACACCTCTGTCGTCCTCTCCAGTGAATGGTCCTCCATTTGATTCACCACAAAACTTGGGACCAAACCCTGGTCACCATCCGATAAATCTTGGAGAGAACATCCAGGAACCTGTTGATCAGAACGAATTTGTGATTACTCATCTGATTTCTTGAGATAAATAGTTGTTGTTGTTTTCAACGTATCTAATGAAATATCTGTATTAAACATTTTTCCTCTAGAATGATAAAAAAACAGCAACAAAGAAGTTTATAATTAACGCGATTTAGTTTTAGACCATACAGCCGTCCAGCCACCAAGGAAAAATTGACACTGATCGTTATATGTCATTGAAACAAGAATAAAATACAGAATTCATTTTCTAAGACTGTGTCA